ACAGGATTTATTAAAATTGTAAAAAAAACAATTGAATTTTTTCGAAAAAATTTTTTAAAATTAAATTCTTTCATGAAATTTTATTAAAAATAATTGAATTTTTGCAAAGAATTTTACTATTTATTAATATAATTGAATTGTTTCGAAGGATTTATTAAACTTGTAGCAAATAATTGAATTTTTTCGAAAAATATTAAAAATTTAAAAAAAAATTGAATTCTTTTTTGAAATTTTATTAAAATTGTATTAAAAATAATTGAGTTTTTGCAAAGAATTTTACTATTTATAAAAATAATTGAATTTTTTCGATGAATTTATTAAAATTTCAGAAAATAATTTAAATCTATTGAAATTTTTTATAACGAATTAAAAAAATTGAATTCTTCCCTGAATTCGTTTTGAATAAAAATTGAACTTTTGAAAAAGAATTTTACTATTTATAAATATAATTGAATTTGTTTCGAAGGATTTATTAAAACTTTAGAAAATAATTGAATTTTTTTTTTGGAAAAATATTACTAAAAATTAACAGTAAAATTGAATTCTTTCATGAAATATTATTAAAATAGTATTAAAAATATTTTATTTTTTGCAAAGAATTTATTAAAATTTTAGAAAATAATTAAATTGTTGCGAAAAATTTTATTAAAATTGTTGAAATTATTGAACAAGAATAATTAATTAGTAAATTAGTTAATAATTGGATTTTTTTAAAGTTTGAATCTGAAATTATTCAAAAATTCATATTTGAAAGAAAAAATTTTGTAATTTGCATAATAATAATAATAATAATAATAATAATAATAATAATAATAATAATTTTTGTATATTTTTTATTTATAAAAATTATGATCTAAAATTATTTAGTAAAATAAACAAATTAGCATTTACAGTTTAAAAAGTTATTATATCTTTTTTATAATTTACTTCTTTATTTCAAAAATCATCGGTTTATTACATTAATTATTAATTAATTAGTTAATTAATTAGCGAGTTCAAAACAATTAATTGTTAACATTGTTTATTATTATTAACACTGATTATTACTCTTTAAATTTTAATCAGTTAAAAATAACTAATTAATTAGTAATTTGCTACTAATAATTAATTAAAAATTAAAAATAGATTTACAAATATCAATTTTTATTTGTCTGAGAATTCAGTTCGGAATAGAATTTTTTAATGGGAATTTTTTTTGTTTTTTGTCTTTTTTTGTTTAAGTGTAAAATTGCTCGATGGTAATATTATATGATCCGGTATGATATTTCATACATTTCTCATAATGTGACGTATATGTGAGTTCGAATCGGAACGGTGGATATATAGATACACTTAAAATCTTTGTCAAAAGTCATTCGTTTTTCACGCATGTCAGACGAAATTATTACTTTATTAAAATTTAATTTAAAGAAAAGTGTATTTATAGAGAAAAAAAACCAAATTCTCTGAGAGTAATAATTACATAGCATTTAAAAAATGATGAAAAAAAATTTAATTCTCTTTAAATTATTCGCCAAAAAGTAATTAAAAATAATCAATGAATTTAATTAAATTATTTATTTATTTATTAGTTACAATTAGTTTCTATAAATAATTTAAACATGGAAAAAAACTTCACCTGGAACACCGATAAAAGTTTCTCTAGAATAGCGAAAATATTTATTGAAACAACTAAAAATTTCGCTAATTCAATAAAATTTGTTTCTTCTTTTAATTATTTTTTCATTCTCCTTTCTTTTTATTTATTTCCATATTAGTTACTTTTACAATTTAAATTTAGTTTTTTTACAATTAGAAATTGATGAATATCCTTTTTTTGAAAAAAAAATTCCCTTTAGCTTTTATTTAAATTTTCACGTTCAAATATAAATTTACTGTACATATTTCTTATCATATACAACACTTTGGAATTATTATATTATAAAATTTTCATATTTTAAAGCAAAATTTCTAGACTCACTTTTATGGGACACAAAATTTTATCTAAAGGATTCGTTTAACACATCTTCAAAGCATTTCTGTTAATATTACGATCTTGAATTTATGATCATTTAACAAAAAACAAATTTCATGTAAAATTTTCATGGTTGTCCATTATCGAATTTTTTTTTCATTTTATTTTTTAATTAATTTAAGTATTATATTCATCGTGTTATGTATAGGTAGAATTTTATCAAAAAGCAGAGAATACGATACATATATAAACAGTAGATTTTTGATAATTTCACGCGATTCCATATCCATAAGGTTGTATAAATATATATATATAAAAGTATTAAAAGTAATTTTCATCAAGACTAAAAGGACAGAAAATAACAAAAAAAAAAAAAAAAAAATGGGGGGAGAAAAAAAGAAGAGTCAAAGTGAAGAGCATATCTACTTCGAGTGAAGCTTCCAATTACGCCACTGGAGCTGAAGAGATTCCTCTCTGAAATATAATATAAAAGGAAAGCTGTTAAGTATGCAGCGTTCCTTGCAAAGTCCAACTCTATCTCCTTATTGCGGTTGCTAAAATATTTTTTGAAAAAAACACAAAAATACAATATAATAAGACTGGTTTTCTTGGCAGCAAGGTCAAATGCGTAATGAACAACTTCTTGTGCTTTGCGCGCAGAACGTTTAGTTGGCTTTTCTTTTTTTTTCATTATTATTATTATCTTTTTTTTAATCTGTGATTTTTATGACATGTACTAATATTGCAATCAATGTTCGTAATACATAAATTTGCAAAATTGGAAAAAAATTATACAAATCGTACTAATTATTATTATTATTAATTATTAATTAAGAACCAGGTGACAATCATTAATATCTTATTTATTATTTGTTAATAAATATTTATTAAATAAATATTTGTTAAATAAATAATTGTTTATTAAAGTACAAAATTGGTTTCTTGTTCCAAATTTTGTAAATTTTTATTCGTTACTGTAGAACCGAAAAAGAAGAATGTTCCTATGTAGATTATTCGAGAAGTTATGAATTTGTTAATTAACATTTGTCGAAATGTTTTAATTTAATATTTAAAAATAAAAATTATAAATAAATAAGAAACTGATTTAATTATTGACGAATTAATCAAGTTTTATTAGATGCAAATATTATAAATTAAAGAAATTAAGTAGAAGAACAATTATTATTGTTATAAACAAATTGCAAATGTTTTATTATTAAATAATTTAAATTTAATTTTTAATTCTTTGAGAATTGAGAGTGTTAACATTTGTCTTATATGGAACAAATTAATGTCATTTTTGTTCAATTAGGAATTTGTTTTAATGATTTGTTTATAAACAAATGCCATTAACAAATATACTATTATTTAGTAAAATTTAATTTATTTTCTAATTATTGAGTTTTCATTTTAATAGTCATTATACATTCAATTAATTAGTTAATTAATTAATTAATTGTCCCCAATTAATTAATTAAATTATTATTTTTATGTATTATTTTAATTTTTCATTTGTTTACAACAAATTATATTAATAATATATAAATAATACTAAATAAAAGTAATACTATTTGTTGTATGTTTTTCTAAAAAAAAAAATACAATTATTGAGCGTGGGAAATTAAGGAACATTTTTTTAAGAAAAGTAATTTAAAATAAATATGTAATTTATAACAATTTAGTAGTAATTGCTATTGACGTGTATTATTATTTATTAATAACAGTCATTTCTAAGTGATAAGTGATAATTATGGTGAGAGAAAGGTTACCTACTTTTAAAAAATCTTGAACATTTGATTGAAGTATTATTTGTTTACAAAAAAAAATCACGATATTAACTATTATTATTAATTGTGCGATTATTGATTGTAATAATTCAACTCTGCACGAATGCATTGTTGTTAAAGAGTTGAATTCTCCAAAATTTATTTATTTTATTTAAATTTATTTATTATTTATTTTTTTAATTGAAAAATCCTGAATTACTAATAGTTAACACAATTAATTCATATTTATAATTAATTAATAATAATTAGTACAATTAATTGATATTCTTGATTAATTAGTAATAATTAGTATAATTAATTGATATTTTTAATGAATTAACAATAATTGGTAATTAGCTAATTAATTAAAATTCATAGTATTCATTCTTACTATTAATTAATTCATTCATACAATTATGATTCAATTTATATTTATTGTAAATTTGGGGGGAAAAAATTGTCCCTGGCCCCTGGTAAATAATTATGGTAAATTTATATTTAAAGTTATTTATTAATTGATTATAATAATTTAATAATTCCTCTAAAGAGTACGAAGAGGTGGAAAAGTGGAGCGTCAGGTGGGGAAATGAAGGAGAGGGGGAAGTAGCCGCGTGGTGGGGGGACGCTTCTCCTAGCCTCACACTCGGCAGTTTTTACCAAAAAAAATAGTAAAAATTACTTCAATATTTTTTTCGTCCACATTTTAAGGGATAATTTAGAATCGTAAAATTTATCATAAAATAAATCGTAAAAATTAGAATCGTAACTTCAAAAAAAAAATTATAATCAAAATTCACAAAGAAATGAACAAAAAAAAAATTGCTTCCGGCAAATCATCCCAAATGGAATGCACTCTGCCTTAGATAATATAGAATAAAACATGGAATTTATAACACTAGATATACGCATACAATCTAATGTTATAAATTCCAAGTAAAGTGATTTGATTATTTAATCGCAAAATTGTACATTTAAAAAGAAGAAGAAAAAGAAAAAAAATGTAAATTGTACAAATAATACATGAACGCGGAAAAAAAATAGTATTATTAAATCACATTGCTAGAAAACAATGACCCTGTTTGCACTTGTCGAATCGGAAATCCGCAACAGCAGCAGTGTGAGCATCATCCCACGCAGTCATTGACGAGAAAGAAAGAAAGAAAGAATGTATATTATTTTGATAGAGGTGACAAAGAGGGAGAGAGGATAGTGAGTAAGAGAGAGAGAGAGGAGTGAGAATAGTCCCTCTCTTGTGTCTGTGTGTACGTCGCTGATCAGTTTCTGCTTGACAGCGAATGAGTTCACTCGTATTATACTTTAATATTGAGCGTGAAAGAAACTCGGATAAAAAGTTGTTTTATTTATTTTTTCTCTCTTTCTTTTTTTTTTTTTTGTTGTAAATAATGTGAGGAAGAAACAAAATTGATTCTAATTAAGGAATCAATTTGTGTGTAATTAGTTCATTTTTTTTATACTCGTGTGTGCGCGATTAGTTCATTGTTTTTTTTTTATCTCTAGTGATGTTTAGTTTTTAGTGAGTGGATTCCAGTGTTTCTTTTTAAAAGCCCCCTCTCTCTTTGAAAATTAAATGAAAAATTTAATTAATTTAATTTAGACTGAATTTAATTAATTAAAGCTAAATTAATTAAAATTTAATTTAATTAATTAAAACTAAATTTAATTTATTAAAACTAAGTTTAATTTAATTATTTAAAGCTAAATTGATTTTAATTAATTGAAACTAAATTAATTAAAATTTGAATTAAATAACAATTAATTATGTCGAAGCGATTTAACAAAAATTAATTTAATTGATTTTACACGCAAAACAAAGTTTACTATTTGACTCAGAGCCTACTAAACTTTTTATTTGTTTCAAATAAATTTAATTTGATTCAAATAAATTCCTTATTTGTGTTGAATAAAATTTGTATTTAAGACAAATAAATAATTTATTAGCCTCTGCACTGAGAAAACAATATATTTGAATCAAACATAATTATCTTTATTATACAGACAACAAAAAATTATTTTTAAATTAAACATAATACTTTTTATTTATAATAATTAATAAGTTTTAATAATAATAATTCAATAATAAAAAATACTACATATTTTTGGATTAAAAAACAATTATCAGTGAGAAACAAATACATTTTTATTTAAATCAACTAATAATAAATATTTTTTAATAATTATTTTAGTTGCGAAGCAACGTTTTGATACGTTTTTTGTCTCAATTTGATATTCTTAGAAAAACTGTGATTATATTTAATATAGTGATGATAAAATTATTATTATTAGTATATATTATTAAAATTATTTTAATTAATTACGAAAAGGCATAGCACACTCATATGTGAATAAATAAACATAATTTTAAACAAATTATTAAATTGTTAAAAAATTATGAAAATGAATTATTAATAAACAAGGAAATTAATTACAATTACAAAAATTATCAATTAAGCAACTATTTTTAAATTATTTTAAAACTGGATGAAATATGTCCCGTTATTTGAAAAAAAAAATCAGAAAACCAATAAAACAATTTCATTTCTTAAAGATCTTTGACTTGTTTGTAAAATAAAAGAAACAAAATGAAAAAGTTTCCGATTAATTTATATATTATGTAAAAGCATGACGAACAGGTAATTTTGGATTTTTCTAAATATATTATATACTGGCAACGATATATATTTGAAAATAATTTATAACCGCATGTCATTGAGCGAAAGGCCAATTCAATTTCACTTTGTCTCTCTCTCTATATATATACATATATGTGCATATACATAATATATATAGAAATATATGTGTGAATTTACAACTAATTCAAAATGGTTAAATTAAATTATCACCGACAAACATGAACAATAAATATTATCCGGTTAAAATTATAGATCCTTGTTTCAGTATAAATTGCTTTAGTAATTAATAAGTACATTCATTAATATTGATACCGAATAATTCAGATAGTTCACGTTTTTTCTTTTTCTTTTTTTTTTGATAATTTATATATTTATCTTGAAGAGAGAAAAATTTTCAACAACTTCTGTTACGACATTTAATTACAATTTAATTAATATTAATTAATTGTCTTTGTTAATTAAATTTAACTTTTAAATGCGAATTTAAAGCAAGTAAGAAGCTGGGAAAAATTATTTAGTACTAATATTGAATGTACTACATTAAATTACCTGATAATTAATATTATTTTTATTTATTAACTAACAAGTAACAATTTTTTATTAACTAACAAAAAGACCATTAATATTGTTAATAATAACATCTACATAATATTAACTTCTTGAAATAGAAAATAAATTCTGAAAAAAATGTTCACTTCACCTGGGATCGAACACGAGATAATTATTTACAAAAGCAACGCTTAGCCGACACGACTACTAGTTTTTATTTTTTAAAATCTTTTTTACTATTTTACTTAATATTTACCTAATACTTAATAGTTTTATTATTATTCTTGTTATTATTAGCTTTTTTATTTTAATATTATTATTTTTTTTTATTTTTATAATAATAATAATAATAATAATAATATTAATATTAAAAAAAATATATTCTAATAATAAAAATATTAAGTATTAGGTAAATATTAAGTAAAATAGTAACAAAGATTTAAAAAAATAATATAAATAAATAAATTATTATTATTATTAACTATTTTTGGAAGCCATAAATTATATAAATAAAAAATGTTTATTTCTTTGTGTAGCCTAGTGGTTATTATTACTGTTATTATTATTTTTTTATTACTATTTTTTTATTATTATTGTTATTTTTTCCTGTTCTTATTATTGTTAATGTTTTCATGTTTATTATTATTATTGTTGTTATTATCGACATTATTATAATTTATTATTTTGTTGATATTATTTATTGAAATTCCGCATTAGTCAACATATTTTTTTTTTAATTATTTTTTTCATCACGTTTACAAAACGCAGATTTATATTTAAGTGCATTTGTCTCGTATATTCTAGATTCGTTCTTTGTTGTGCGATTTAATTTATTATTATTAATCTTTATTTTCATTAGTAGCGATTACATAGGGGATTGTGATTATGAATATATTGATCCCAGGTGTCATTGGACTGTCGTAAGCGTCGTGACGCCCACACGTTTTAGAAATTAGTATGCATTTGCCATAGTTATATATTGATAAATAGTTGTATAGAAAATTAAATTTTTAATCCGATCTTTGTAATTACACGCGATTAAAAAATAAAAAATAATTACTTTTTATTCATTTGAGAAGAAATCAAGTTTTTAGAGGCAATACTCTTTCGGGGAAAAAATAAATTTATTAATAATTAAGATGAAAGGAGTGGTCGTGTGGTTTGAGTAGTGGTTTTGTAAATAATTGTCTCGCGTTCGATCCCAGACGAAGTGTACCTACAATTTTTTTTATCATATTTAATTTTTATTTTAAGTTAATATTATGTTGGTTTTATTATTTACAATATTAATGATCTTCTTGTTAGTTAATAAAAAGTGTTAATAATAAAGTTATTAATAAACATTCAATAACAATAATAATAATAATAATAATAATAATAATAATAATAATAATAATAATAATAATAATTTTATTTCCTTTTTATTTGTTTATTTATTTATTTATGAAATCATTTTATTGATTTTATTTTATTTTTTACTTGTAAATAAAAACTAATAGTTAGAATTTGTATCGTTATTAATAATGAAAGTTAATTAATTTTTATTTAAAAATGTAAATATGTTTGAATTATTAATTATGTTTTATTAATATTTATTAATAAAACATAATTAATTTTTATTAATAATAATAAAGATTTTTATTTCAATAAAAATTTTTAAAAAAATATATTCACATATTTAAAAATGAATATTTTTGTAACGAAAAAAAAAATATATTGTTGACGAGGTCGAAAGAAAACACCGGATAGGTTTTATATAGAACGCACTGATAACAAAACTATTTTCTTGAGGGAAGAAAAAAAGGAGTAAAAGTTTTGTTGATGTAGATGATTCTTTTTTAATGGATTAAATTAATTACTCACTTGACACTACAATTAATCATGAACTGCACTCATTAAGATAAAAAAAGCAAATGTCATTTGAAATTTCTCCGAAGAGACATTCATTTATTTTGAAACTTTTAACAATTTTATTTCATTGTTTTTCCATAATATCCAAGATTAGAAAAAAGCATTAACAGCACTTTATTACAAAAACAACTTGAATTCTTTAATTAATTTAAAAAAAAAGATTTTTTAAATAAAATTTTTTTTAAAACTTATAATTTATTTAACAAAATTTCTCTTTACTATACAATATTATACAATGCCATACAATATTATATAATACCATACAATATTATACAATACCATACAATATTATATAAAATTAAATAAATTAAATTTATAAACTAAATTTAAATTTTGTTTAAAATAAATAAATAAATAAATAAAAATTATGCAAAATAATAACTTTATAGTTTATACTTTAGAAATTTGTAAATTTGTATAAATTTTGTTGTTCAAAGTATTTTTTTTCCTTTTTCTATTTGACTTTATATTAAATAAGGTAATTAAATATTTTTTCTAAAGAAATTGAAGGAATGTTGAAATTTTTTATTGACAGTAAGAATAGAAACTTTTATAATTTTTGTTTCCTCTTTGGAAATAAGAAACCGTTATAGATACAGAAAATTGTAGAAGGAGAATTATTTCATTATATATATAGGCCAATAAATTTTTCCCCATTGATTTAATTTAGATTAAAAATAATATTTTAATAGTATCTAATTTTCTAATAATTATGTTAATTATCGTATACTTAGATTATTTTTTCCTATTAATTACATTATCGTGAATCGTGAAATTATTCAATAACATAGTGAATTTCTCTCTCTCTCACACAGAATCTTTTGATATCTTCCGAAATTAGAATTCGTTTCCAAAAGGAATATTTTTTATTACACAAAGAATTTACATGAAGAAAGTCTATAAAAATTAAAATTTAAAAATCAATATGATAATCACTTTACCTTATGTGACATATTTAAAAAAAACCACTATTCAAATAATATAATTTCAATATTATGCATAGAATTTGAAAAAAGACATTTTTTTAAATGTCAAGAGAGAGAAAGAGAGAGACTTACGTCTACTAATGTTGGATAAGATACTGTAATAAGGAGAAAAAAAGAAGAGAAAAAAAAGAACCTAATCATTAAAAATTATGTGAGTGCGCGAATGAATAATATTGTGAAAATGCTTGAACTTGTCGTCGATAATAAAATTCACGGCAATTTAAAGCCATCGATGATGTATCATACGCCAAGTTTGGAAAATTTCGGTAAAGATCCAAAGGAAGCAGATTTTTTTCGACGAAAATTAAGTCGTTCGTTTCGTGAGAAAAAATGGAAACGAAATAGTAAAGGATTATTGTGCTCATTGGGTCAACTTGGCTGTCACGATTATTACAGTCCCGACACTATTGGCACGTGGAAATTTCACAGAGTCTCACGTCAAAGGTAAAAAAAAAATCGGGCTCGTTTCATTTATATAAATAAGATAGAGAAAAAGTTTTTTAGGAAAAAAGTTTTGTAGAAAAAAACTTCTTCTAAAAAAATCTACAATGAATAATTTTTTTAAAACCAAATTTAAGAGAAACTTTTTAACACAATTTAAATTAATATATTTTCTACAAATTTTGCCAAAAAAATTGATGATCTATGGATCATTGATCTATCAATGATTTATATTTCCCTAATTTATAGATCATCAATAATAATATAAATAAAGATCATTAATGCACTATTGCTACTATTACTAATATAAACGATGAAAATACAAAAAATTTTGACAAAAAATTGATATATGGATCATTGATCTATATTTCGCTAATTTGTAGATCAATAATAATATAAATATAAATAATGATCATTAATTTAGTATTGTTACTATAAATATATAAACGATACCATATTTACTTAGTGATCTATAGATTAACGATATTTATATTATTGATCCACGTATTTAAGATCTATTGATCATTGATCCATAGATAATGATCTACAATCATCTGTAATCAACATAATTAATTAATTTACCGGTTTTTAAACTAATTATCACAAAGTTCAAGATATTATTGATTCCTTTATTCATTCTGTAGATCATTACCGTATGGATCTATAATACAATTATTAATTATTTATAGATCATAAATCTCCAACTATAAACTGTTTTCTATGAATTCAATTCATTTGTGAATAATAGATCACTGATCTAAAGTAAATTATTTTAAACATCAATGATTTGTTTATTGATTTATATAGATCATGATTTTGTAGTTTATTGATCTATAGATCATCATTCTTTATTCACTGATCTGTAGATTATATAATTAAATGATTTATATATGTAGATCACATTCTATGGTTTGATGATTATTATATAATCGTTATTCTACAGTTGAATGATCTATAGATCATTATTCAATAATTGAATGATCTATGAATTTTATATTTCAACAGTCAAAAAATCATTATTCAATACTTTCGTGAACGATAAATCATTATTTTATAGTTTGATGATCAGTAAATTATTTTTTATGGTTTAATTATAAATAGATCATACTATAGGTTCTTGATCTACTAATGATTTATTCCGTAGGCAATAAATCATTATTCAATACTTTATAGATCGATAAATCATTATTTTATAGTTCAATGATCAATAAATTATATTCTATGGTTTTGTGATCTACATATAATTATTTGCTAGTCTATAGATCTATCTATAGATTATTATTTGCTAGTTTAGTGATCTATAGATCATTATTCGTTAGTCTAGTGATCTATAGATCATTATTTGATAGTTTAGTGATCTATAGATCATTATTCGTTAGTCTAGTGATCTATAGATCATTATTTGCTAGTTTAGTGATCTATAGATCATTATTCGTTAGTCTAGTGATCTATAGATTGTTTGTGGTTTGATAATTATTATAATCATTCTTATGTAGTTGAATGATCTATAGATCATTATTCAATAATTTAATGATCAATGAATAATCAGTAAATAATAATAATTAGTAATCAATAATCAATTGAATAATCAATCAATAATCAATAAATCATTATTTTATAGTTTAATGACTAATGAATTATATTTTATGGTTTAGTGATCTGTAGATCTTTATTCTGTAATTTATTGATCTATTAATGATTATTTTATAATTTGTTTATATTTTAAACATTATTTACTATAGTTTAATGATTTATACATCATTTTTCTGTAGTTTTTTTATCTATAGATCATTATTTATTGTTTTAATGATCTATAGATCATTATTCTAAATTTCTATGATCTTTAAATTATTATTTTATATTACGATGATTTAAACATCGTTTTTTACAGTTTAATGATTATTACAATCATTATTATGTAGTTGAATGATCTATGGATCAAAAATTAATTAATAAGAATCTATAGATCATTAAACTGTTAAATAATGATTAAATAGTTTAATTATTATTTATAGATTATTTTGTAGTTTATTGATTATAGATTGTGTAGTTAAATGATCTATTTTTTATTATGTCTTAGTTTAATAATCTATAATTAATTTATCTACAGATCACTATTCTGTACTTGAATGATCTATGGATCATTATTTTATGGTTCAACGATTTAAAAATTGTTTTTAAATTTATTAATCTATAGATCATTTTGCTTCAGTTTATAAACAGATAGATTTTATATTAAAATGATCTATAGATCATTATTGATCTATAGATCGTGTAGTTCAATTTTTTGGAGATCATTAGTTTACAAACTAATGATCTACAAAAAATTAAAAATTACAAAAAATGTATCGATCATTGATTGATAAATTATTATTTTATCATTAAATGTTGAGTTTGCTCTAGTTTAATGATCTATAGATCATTTTTTTCACTATTCAACTACATAGCAATAGTACACGGATCTATAACAAGATTAATGATTTACAAAATCTCTAGTAATTGGTTCTATATGATAAATTATGCATCTTTAGTAGATATAAATAAAATTGATGATAATTTTTAATTTTTTGTGACGTTAAAAAACAATAACTGTGATTTTAAAAAATAATTTACTAAGAAAAAGAGAAAGAACGGATGCAGCTCTGTAATGAGATATATTTAAGAGAATTTTCACTGGAAATTACTTTGGTGATTTACTTGAAAGTTGAAAGTATTATTATTACTGTGGTTGAAAATTCGAAATACTTAATGTCTTAATAACAGTTATTTACATTCGCTGACGTGCATTGCAATCTTCTTGAAAAGAAAAAAAAATGAAAATAATTTTCAACTTTGCCAAAAAATTTATGTCTTTATTTAATTGAATTTATTTGTCGTTGACATAAAATTCATGAGTGAAATTTTAAGATACCAATTATTATTCAAGTGCAAGTGGTTTGATTTTTTTTCATGTCGAAATAAAGGAAATATATTAATCAGTTTACATTTGAAATAAATTATTTATTATTATTATTATTTATATAATAAATATGAATAAAAATTAAAAAAATAATTTTTAATAATTAATGAATTATAAATAAATTTATAATATTTTTATATAAGTAAATAATAAATAAAATTAATGTTATTTTTCATTTCGAATTAAATTATTTTTTAAATTTCTGCATAAATTTAAAAAATTTTTACAATACGGACGATGTGCAGAAATTATATTAGAGAAAGTTATACTCTATTATATGAAAAAGGTTACATATAGATAGGATGCGTAGGCGAAAAATGCAGGTGCGCATTTTCAATTTCAATAATAATAAAATTATAACTTATAAGGGAAATTAATTATTATATTTCGATATTTAATATTTAATATTTTATATTTTATTCATAAACATGAAATCATTCTACAATGTTTTACATTAGTTTATTTTAAATAAATATATTTATATTTTTTTATTACAACAATTCACAGCTTCGTAGTGAAGAAAAAAATAAAAGAACAGGTTTTATATTTAAATAGACAGTAGAGAGAAGCGTATCAGTAATAATGTTGATTTAGAAACGTTAATACAAAATAGCTTTTTGAAAAAAAAGAATCATTGTTAGAAACGTGTCTTTTGTATTTTGAGAATAAAGATGCTCAGTAGGCCTTTTCAAATGTCATTGTCAATCATTAAACTCGAAATAGGAATGTCACATAATCAATGAGAATTATTGTTGTTATGTGCAGCGTGTCCCACATTACATCATTTGAAATACTTTAAGAGTCGTATATTTTTTTTTCGTGCCTTAGAAATAGCATTCCGTTATGTTTAAGTATTATTTTAAAGGCGTTTTATGCCAATTTTCTTTCAGCAATACCGTATAATTTTTACTGTCATTCCTTTATCCTTATATGGATCACTTTACATTATTCTTCAATGATCCATAGATCATTTTTGTTTACAGTTCACGTTATTGGTCAATGATCTATAGATCATTATCTTTTAACTCACTCTATTACTGATTCATAGATCATTGCCCTATAACTCACAATATTAGTGATCTATAGTATCATTTCCCTATAACTCACTATATTAGTGATCTATCGATCATTATCCGTCAGTTCACTTTATTATTGATCTATCGATATTTATCTTATAGATCATTTTATCAGTCCATTAATCACTAACTCATAGATTCATTATTGATTTATCGAGCATTATTTTTCAGATCATTTTATAAATCTAGATCTATGATCATTGTATTAATGATCTATAGATCATTCGCGTGTGCATTTATAGCATAAGAATCATGTTTGCTTTAATAATTAATCCAAAGATTATTAATTTTTTCAAAATTAATTTATAGATCTTCAGTGCAGTTATCTATGATAAATAGATTAATGATCTATTAAATCAGTGATCTTTAGATCATTTGCATATTAATCGAAATAAGGATCAATTTTGATTATGTTATTAAGTTAAAGAATATTAGTTTATTTCGTAATTGATTTATCGATTTTTAGTACTGGGATTTGTGACTTATGGATTGATTATCTATGATTTATAGATTACTACTATAATTTTTGGATTAATGATCTATAGATCATTAGTTTTTTTATTTAAAACCATTGAATAAATAATGTAGCAATTAATATAATTAAGAGAAGATTAGTGCTTAATCTAATGATAATTAGTTAATTATAATTCGTAATTGATACATAGATCTTCAGCATTGTGATCTATGATTCATAGATTATTGATCTATAGATCAGTCGCATATGAATGTATACCTTATGGATCAATTTCGATTTAGTAATTAATCTAAAGATCACTATTTTATACGTAATTGATTTATAGATCTTCAGTATTGTGATGTATCATCTGTTCTATGATCTATTGATAAATGATCTATAGATCATTCGCATATGGATCGAAATACGAATCAGTTCTGCTGTAGTGAATAATCTAAACAACATTAGTTTGTTCCTTAATTGATTTATCGATTTTCAGTACTCAAGTTTTTGA